ATTTTCTCCACCCGTCTTGACAGATTTCCTAGGAATTCCATGCAGGTTTTCATAATGGGGAAATCAGAAAGTGCTGTATTGGCAGATTCAGGCATTAGTCAAATAAATGCCAGACTTAAACCATGAAAATAATGAATTCCTTAAAATGTACCTGTAACAAGACATTTGATTTTATCAAATTGCTATCAAAGGTAGATTTTTTAAAAGCAGACAATAGAGGGTTCATTGACTTTGCATCATTTAAATCAAGGCTTATGCCATTTTTATTTATCCTAAACAGTCACCTGTCCTTTGGCACGAAGTTATTTCTGGATTATCACAGGATATATTTTCTTTATACTGCTGCCTTAAGACTCAGCAATCTTGTGAGTCATTGGTAACAAGCTACTAATAAAAATCTTCATATAAATGCAGTTCTCACACACTCTCTCTCACATCCATACATGATAAAACTACAGCTTTGACTATACAGACCTTTTGTCACCTCTTTTTAATACGCTGTCTACATTTGTCATAGCTTTTCTTCTAAGGAGCATAAAAGGAGAGCTGGATCATAAAGAAGCCTGAGCACCAAAGAACTGATGCTTTTGAACTGTGGTGTTGGAGAAGAATCTTTCGAGTTCCTTGGACTACAAGGAGATCAAACCAGTCAATCCTAAAGGAAATCAGTCCTGAATATTCACTGGAAGGACTGATGCTGAAGCTGAAGCTGAAGCTCCGATACTTTGGCCACCTGATGCAAAGAACTGACTCCTTGGAAAAGACCCTGATGCTGGGCAAGACTGAAGGCAGGAGGAGAAGGGGACAATAGAGGATGAGATGACTGGATGGCACCCCGACTCAGTGGACAAGTTTGAGCTAACTCTGGGAGTTGGTGATGGACAGGGAAGCCTGGCGTGCTGCAGTCCATGGAGTTGCAAAGAGTCGGACATGACTGAGTGACTGAACAACAACAATGTGCCATAAACATACAATATATTTAATGTAATCTGTAAGGGGCAATCATCCATCTAATAGAATATGGTTTGTGTGTACTTTTATACATTATATATTATACATTTTAATGTAAAGAAAAGTAGAATTATTTTACTAATTATTCAAATTTCCTTTTATTTTGCAATTTTGTTTTCCTCACATTTCAAATTCCTTTTTACAAAGTTCACTGTCTTGCTAATTAAGTGGCCAGTTAAAGAATATAAATTTCTTCTAGGATTAAGTAAGTCTTGCCTCTAAACCCTTTCCAGGTGCATCTTTAAGTGATTTCTCAATGGCTCAGAGGTGAAGAATCTGCCTGCAATGCAGGAGACCTGGGTTCAATCCCTGGGTTGGGACGATCCCCTGGAGAAGGGAAATGGCAACCCACACCAGTATCCTTGTCTGGAAAAATGTCATGGACAGAGAAGCCTGATAGGCTACAGTCCATGGGGTTGCAAAGAGTCAGACATGAGTGAGTGACTAATAGTAACAGAAATTTAGCCAATTACAAATCACACACCTCCAGTCTAGCAATAAAACTTATCATTTCAACTTCATGTTGTGAAAAAGACTTATAAAATGCAAAAGTAAACTAATCATTTTTTGCTAAACCAAATTCTAGTGAAAGAATGGATTTCATAAAATCTTAGAACTGGAGAAAATCTTAAAATATTATTCAGTTCCATTAAAACCTATGTAGAAAACTAGAGAGTCTAGAGAAAATACGGGAAAGTGAGTTGATTAGAAATAATTAGAACAGAACACAAAGCTGGACTCAAATATTTGAATGAGGTGAGTTCTTTTATAAAAATATTAACAATAGGAAGTTCCAGTTAAAATAATTAATGACAAAAATGTAAATCAAGCTGTATTTAGCTTGATTAACTCAGTAAAGGGCTTCAAAAAAGCTGTGTATCTCTTTTACACAAAGGCTGCAGATTAGCAGGTTCAGAAGGAATTGTCTTCAAGGTGAAAACTGTCAGATACCCTGCTTAACTGGAAATAGGCTAGCTACTTTGTTATAGTCAATATCCTGAAAATTTATTTAAACATCCTCACAATTCTTGCTCACAGGCTCCAGGCTTTGAAAACTCAAGACTTATTTCCCAAGCACAGAGGAGCATCATTTTTGCTGCTTTACTCAAGAGAAATCCTTGACTGAGAGAGAAAATCATTTTCTCTTAAAGTTATTCGAGAAATCAAGCTCTGTATCTCAGTGGAGAATGCACAGCCGTCAAACACCGTGAGTTCGTTTCAGATGGAGAAGGGGAAGGCCCTGAGTTGAACCCTTATTAACGTGACATTATGGCCGTAACTGTACGTGAACATGCGGTTATCAAGATTACAGTTCCCATGACATTGATTCCAAAGCATCGTAACACCACGAAGAAGTCTTCTATTTTTAAACAGCCATTCAAGGTTTCTCAAATGTGAAGTGAGACTAATAACAGCACCTAATTTAATGACCATTATGGGAATTAAATCAGATTGTACAAAATGACCTTAGCAGGAAGCCTGGCATGTAAGTAGGGCTTCCTGCTATTATTTAATACCCTGGTGGCTCAGATGGTAAAGAATCTGCCTGCATCCAGGAGACCTGGGTTCCATCCCTAGGTGGGGAAGCTCCCCTGGAGGAGGGCAAGGGAACCCACTCTAATATTCTTGCCTTGAGAATCCCATGGACAGAGGAGCCAGGTGGGCTACTTGCAAAGAGTTGGACATGACTGAGCGACTAAGCAGAGAACAGCACGCACCACACCACCACTAAACACGCTCAAGTCTCTCTGAAGGGTGGCCTTTCCCATTTCAGGTCCTGCCTCCAGCTCCACATCGAAGCCTCTCTTCACACAACTCCCAGCCCCTCCCCAACAAAAACACACCCACCCACTACAATCGTGCCTCCCGCCACTTTACTCAGACCGCTTCTGCCAAAGTCACCTCTTTCATTAACACAGCAGCAAGCATGTCTAGTAATTTCTATGCAGTACAGAAAAACACATTTAGTATTTTACAAAACACAGAGCTGAAATATAATATACACAAATATTCTAAAATCCATTAAAACCAATTTGATACATACTTTTGGTTTTAAACATAAACTTGATTCCAATTCTTTTCATTTCCTTAGATCATTGCTGTTAGAAAATTTAATAGGAAAAACATAAACAAACCAATGTTCTAAAAGAATCATAATGAATCTTATAGAAGCAAAATGCCTGATTTTCCAAGATAAATGTTAAATTAATGAATTATTGTTACTAACTTCCCAGGTATAGTTTTAGTTGGATTATGACAAAATGAAAACCGTGCATCATCTTTTTTGAACTATAAATACAAAGCAGCTTTCATAGCTCTTATTTGGATATTTGATAATTAAAAAAATAGTTGTCAAGTAAAAATTTTAGTCAATAAATACTTGCATAATATTTGGCCTTTGAAAAAAGTTTAACTTCAATGTCACACATAAAACATATTTTGAGGATAAGTAAAGGTACTGATATTAAAATAAGAGCAGATAAAATGGAAACTATATGACAAGAAAGGCTCAGTCACAAATCTTGCCTTGATTTTCATTTTCTTGAATTCTTTCAAGTGTCCAACCCATCGAAGGCAAGAACAGGGTTATGGACCAGCAAAACATTTTAACACACTGTCACCATCTCCAGGGGAAGGACACTTTAAGTTTCATGAGCTTTCCTAGCCAAGGAATCCTTCTGACACAGAACTGTACCAGCCTCCCCACCTCTGCCAGTCCCCTTCCGAAGGCTGCCTGCCGTTTGAGAGAATCTGCAGTGCAGCTTCCAGCAGTACCACGCTGAGCGGCCTGCTGGGCAGGGCTGTGAGGGGGAAGGCCAGCGGGGCGCCAGGCTGCAGGTCACAGCTGCTGCCGCCGCCGTCTGCGCCCCAACCCAGGACTTCAGCGGGGGGCAAAGCGCGGGGGCAGGGGCCTGCTCAGAGACCCGGCCACACGCCCCAAGCCCCGACGCCAGGCTTGGGGGGCACCTTCCCAGAGCGTGGGGCGGGGATGCGGGCTCAGTCACTTCAGTCCTGTCTGACTCTTTGTGACCCCATGGACGGCAGCCCACCAGGCTCCTCTGTTCATGGGGATTCTCCAGGCAAGAATACTAGAGTGGGTTGCCATGCCCTCCTCAGGGGATCTTCCCGGCCCAGGGAGCGAACCTGTGCCTCTCAATCTCCTGCATTGGCAGGAGGTTCTTTACCCACTAACGCAGCCCGGCAAGCCCTTTTCCTACCATGCACAAAGATGCTAATGGGTAGCTATAGCCTTGGGTGCATGTAACAAAGAAGAAAGAAGCCATTCAAAATCTAAGTGACAGAGGGAAGAAGGAAGTAAACCTTTACTTAGTAGCTACTCCGTATTAGAACTGCAATATAAAACTTTTACATGGATACTATTTCCTTTGCTGTCTTCCTAACAAGGGGCACTGTGACTCCCAATTACACAGATGAGAAAAACAGCAGATTTAGTAAACTGCCAAATAGGAGAGAGAAAAAAAATTTACACTCAGGTTTATCTTCTGTGAAAAAGGGGGAAATGTGTTAAATAATATGTGCCAGCCCTAAGAAAGGTGGTTGGGTTTTATAAGTTGCTACCTTCCCATTATTCTCAAGATAGAACAAACATTTACGATAAGAGGTGGCTTCCCATCCAAACCACAAAAGAAGAGGGAAAGTTCAACTCTAAGGTCTCGGACACAAGAAAGCAGTAGAATAAAGCATGAGCATGTCAAAATTAATCAAACTAGGAATGAGACAGTCACTTCAGAAATGAAACTTGGAAGACTGCTGGCTTTCAATCACCAACTCCCATATGTATTCATCATTAAATAAGGGTTTGGTATAGCGGGCTATTTGAATAAAATAAGTTTCTCTTATGAAAGAGGATAGAAAATAACCATCACCGATGCTCCAACTTCCTTAAAAGAATAAATACTATTTTCCATAGAAAGCTTCACCAATGCACAGGCACTACCTGTGTGCCCTGATGACAGCATTTCACTCACCCGAGGCCGAATTCATCATGTTCTGCTGCACTGGCGGGCTGGTCGGGGCGGCGACGCTCATCTGGGAGAGCATGGCCTTCCTGGGGTCCTGCCAGGTCGTCGTCTGATCTATGTGACTGAGACAAAACAGCCCCTGTGTTAGATAACACCGACGAGGCCCTACAAACAGCAGCCTCGCTTATCAAAACAGGTTTGCTGGATGAACTAGCAGGCAAAGGATTCTAAGCAAGCTCTGTAAAAGCAGTCTTACCACCTCACTGCCCTCACCCTTCCTCTGCAAACTTTTCTCATCCTTGTATCACTGAACTTTCTGCTCTTAGATTTTATAAGTGCAAAATCTGAAAGTTAAACCTGAAATTTTAAGTGAAGGGAAACCATTTTCACCTAGTAGACGTAGACAATTATCTGCCATAATTTAAAGTTGAAATGTGATTTATAAATCATCTATAGTAGTCATATAAGCTAAATGCAAAATTCATTAGGGACTCACCCACTTTTTTTCCTCCCAAAGCTATAAATGCTAATTAACTATAAAATTTGAAGACCTAAAACCCTTTACACCGAACAAAACACAAGAAGATTAAACATTCTTATTATACTATATACTCCAAAGCCAAAACAGAAATACAAACTAAGTTTTGATTGTCTCCTGTTGACTACTGAAGGACTTTTTCATTTGCTAAACAAAACATGCAAACATTTTCTATGTGCTATTAACTTACTACACAATGTCTAATACATATGCATTTGGACATTTCCATCTAAAAAACTGGGGATTAAAATAGCTAAAAATTACATGAATATGAAACTACAAGGCATCTTGCACAGTATTTGGTTTACGAGCATGCAAAAAAAATATTAGCTTTCATCTTCCAGCAAAGTATAATTACTTCAGTGAAAGAAAAAAAAAATTAAACCCATGAAACTACCTGAAATCTATCTTGAAGAAATAGAGAAGTACTCAAAGATCTATGCCAAGTTCTCTTCTGTATAATTTATAGAAGCCGGATAACATCTAATGAAAGGCACTAATTAAATATTGCTACATATGATGTACTGTACTGCAGCTATTGAAAATATTTTAGAATAATATTTAATAGCATAGAAAATAATAATACAGATTATAACAGTATACAGATTATTAGTTTCTATGCTATTAAATATTATTCTAAAATATTTTCAATATATAGTAGATCATATGTAACAATATTTAACTAGTCCCTTTCCTTAGATGTTATCTGGCTTTCAATTTTTGGGCTTCCCTGATAGCCCAGCTGGTAAAGAATCCGCCTGCAGTTCAGGAGACTCTGGTTCAATCCCTGGGTCAGGAAGATCCGTTAGAGAAGGGGTAAGCTACCCGTCGCAGTATTCTGGCCTGGAGAATTCCAAGGACTGTATAGTCCACGGGGTTGCAAACAGTCAGACACGACTGAGAGGCTTTCAATCACTCACAGCTTTTTAAAGTAGACTGTAAAATAGTATGTACACCATGAAGCTAATTGTTTAAACCTGTGTGCTGAAAGCACATGGGAAGGATACACATCAAAATGTTTCTTTTTAATGAATTTTTACTGGAGTATATCTGCTTTATAATATTGTATTCGTTTCCTCCATAGAGCAAAGTGAATCAGCCTTCTAACATCAGACTGTTTTTAACAGTGTTTCTCTCTAGATGGCAAAATTACAGAACTTTGCTTAGTAATAGGAAAACCTAGAAAGACAGTCATGCGCTCACTATCTTTGAAAAGGGTGTGGAAGGACATTAGAAATAAGGGTTATTTTTTTAAAAAAACTCAAATCATTTTTTCTATGGCTGTTTAAATTTCAAATCTGATTTCTCTCTTCTTGAATCATCCGCATGATACTCATGTAAATGGTAAGGAAATGAGACCCTGTGATTAATTTTCTTGAAACCCGAATGCTCTCTCGTCAGTAATGCTATCTGATCAATAACACAGGGGTCAAGGCTCTGACTAGCGCTGTGCTGTGATTAGTCGCTCAGTCCTGTCCGAATCTTTGTGATCCCACGGACTGGAGCCTGCCAGGCTCCTCTGTCCATGGGGATTCTCCGGGCAAGAATACTGGCGTGGGTTGCCACGTGCTCAGGCTAGAACAGACCTTAAGTACTATCTCCTAGAGATGGAAGAATCCTTCTTCCTATGGAAGGAGAAAGAAGAGGAAAACAGAGGGGGTAAAAAACGTGAAAAATCTGTACACGTGGGAATAACAATAATACCTGACAACTGAATGTTATTACACACCAACTAACAATGCTGAGAGAAAATATTTGACTGAGTACACAGTCTCTCAAATACTGCCTTAGCAGCACTTCTTTACCAGTCACAGGCGGTTTCCAGCACTTGCACTAGCACTGCTCAGGTCTAGACAATACAGGTGAAACCCTGTTCAAGTCTGGGTATGTAAACACCGCATTCCGAGAGGTCACGTGCCTGTCAAGCCCAGTAACAGCTAACTTCTTCCATCCTTCAGTGAGTCAGCGAACAAACTAAACCATAAAATGTTTTCTAGATAGCCTCGTGCTTACAAAGCAGCGCACATGGTAATTAATACAGTCACACTGAGCAAAGAGATCTGAAACCTGTAAGACGACCAAATGCAAGGAACTGCTCTGCGTCCCACCGCCTGTTATAATGCTAAGAAACCAGGGAAAGTGGCCAGGGATTGATTAGCAGTAGCAGCGAAGTCGCTCAGTTGTGTCCGACTCTGCGACCCCATGGACTGCAGCCTACCAGGCTCCTCCATCCATGGGATTTTCCAGGCAAGAGTATTGGAGTGGGTTGCCATTGCCTTCTCTAGGGGATCTTCCCGACCCAGGGATCGCACCCAGGTCTCCCGCATTGTAGGCAGACGCTTTTACCATCTGAGCCACCAGGGAAGTCATTATTACTAGCTCTTAAATTTCAATGAAATTTGTAGCACCTGCCCACACCTTGTCTCCAGTACTTCTGAAAATGTTGTATTTGTGAGAGGTAAAAGACAAGGATTTTAACTGCTGAAGGTTTTCTGATATCTAACAGCTGGGTTTCTCTGAAAACTAACCAATGACATAAATCACATTAATCCTTTATAACTAGACTAAAGTCCACCTGATGGTTTAGGAAGATCCTATTCTGATGACTAGTGGCACAGCAAATCCTCCCAGACAGAGTAGCCAATCCATAAATCTGGTCTTAAGGTTTTCATCTCCTTTAAACAAATTAGGCTTTTAAATACAATGCAGAGAATGTATAGCTTCACTGCTCTTTAGAGTGACTATTTTGCTGAAATGCTACTAAGTGTACAAATGCTAAAATTTCTTCTCCTAAAAAGGTTTCTGTTGAACCTCAGTAAGCCAGTCTAGAGAGGTACAGAGCTATTCTATGCTACTTCAGCAAATGTTTCACTTACTCAAAAAAGATCTACTTTTCTTTAAGGAATAAATATGCCATCATCTAAACTGTCCCAAATATAAAAGTCTAAGTGCCTGAAGAACTATGGACAGAGGTTCGTGACATTGTACAGGAGGCAGTGATTAAAACCATGCCCAAGAAAAAGAAATGCAAAAAGGCAAAATACCTGTCTGAGGAGGACTTACAAATAGCTGAGAAAAGAAGAGAAGCGAAAGGCAAAGGAGAAAAGGAAAGATATTCCCATTTGAATGTAGAGTTCCAAAGAAAAGAAGGGAGAGATAAGAAAGTCTTCCTCATTGATCAATTCAAAGAAATACAGGAAAACTATAGAATGGAAAAGACTAGAGAGCCCTTCAAGAAAATCAGAGATATCAAGGGAACATTTCATGCAAAGATGGGCTCAATAAAGGACAGAAATGGTATGGACCTAACAGAAGCAGAAGATATTAAAAACAGGTGGTAAGAATACACAGAAGAACTATACAAAAAAAAATCATAATAACCCAGATAACCACGATGGTGTGATCGCTCACCTAGAGCCAGACATCCTGGAATGTGAAGTCAAGTGGGCCTTAGGAAGCATTACTATGAACAAACCTAGTGGAGGTGATGGAATTCCAGCTGAGCTATTGAAAATCCTAAAAGATGATGCTGTTAAGGTGCTACACTCAATATGCCAGCAAATTTGGAAAACTCAGCAGTGGCCACAGGACTGGAAAATGTCAGTTTTCATTCCAATCCCAAAGAAAGGCAATGATGCCAAAGAATGTTCAAACTACTGCGCAACTGACTGCACTAATTTCATGATAGCAAAGTAATGCTCAAAATTCTCCAAGTCAGGCTTCAACAGTACATGAACCAAGAACTTCCAGACGTTCAAGTTGGATTTAGAAAAGAGAGAGGAACCAGAGATCAAATTGCCAACATTCGCTGGATCATAGAAAAAGCAAGAGAATTCCAGAAAAACATCTGCTTCATTGACTATGCTAAAGCCTTTGACTGTGTGGATCACAATAAACTGTGGAAACTTTTTTTAAGAGATGGAATACAAGACCACTTTACCTGCCTCCTGGGAAACCTGTATTCAGGTCAAGAAGTAACAGTTAGAACCAGACATGGAACAATGGACTGGTTCAAAATTGGGAAAGGAGTATGTCAAGGCTGTACATTGTCATTCTGTTTGTTTAACTTATATGCAGAGTACATCATGGGAAATCCCGGGCTGGATGAAGCACAAGCTCGAATCAAGACTGCCAGGGAAAATATCGATAACCTCTAATTTGCAAATGACACCACCCTTATGGCAGAAAGCGAAGAGGAACTAGAGAACCTCTTGATGAAAAGTGAAAGAGTTGAGTGAAAAAGCTGGATTAAAACTCAATATTCAAAAAAACTAAGATTAGGGCATCCAGTCCCATCACTTCATGGCAAATAGATGGGGTAACAATGGAAACGGTGACAGATTTTATTTTCTTGGGTTCCAAAATCACTGCAGGTGGTGACTGAAGTCACAAAAATAAAAGACACTTGCTTCTTGGAAGAAAAGCTATGACAAACCTAGACAGTGTATTAAAAAGCAGACACATTACCTTGCCAACAAAGGTCCATCTAGTCAAAGTTATGGTTTTTCCAGTGGTCATGTATGGATGTGAGAGTTGAACCATGAAGAAGACTGAATGTCAAATAACTGATGCTTTTGAGCTGTG